TTGAACGCGGCCCCGATGCGTTTGAAAACGAACGCGCGTTCAGTGAGTTCAAACGGTTACATAGGCCAGTAGGAGTAGCATTTGCTCCTACTGAGATAAAGGGTAAGGACGAACAGAAAGGTGAGGCGCTAACGAACCCTTCCTACCCTTCTTCTCATGTGGCAGATTATGATTCTTCCTTAGCCCGTCATCCAGACCGCCCTGACATTGTCTTATGTTCTGTCTCTCTTGATGACTCCCTTGATGAGTAGGTAATGAATTACTAGCCTTACGTAGCTCATGGGCTCTAAGGGCGAATTGTTAATTGTCGATGTAGAAATCGCACAGAAACAAGTAGGTGTGTTGTTGGACCCCGAATCGACGACGTCCTACATTTCCGAAAAAGCAATCCGCAAGTTGCATCTCATAATGAATGTGAAAGACTTGTCTCGACCTATCACGTCTATGTTAGCAGACAAGAGTACGATCATTGTCTCACAGTATCTTGATCATATTAAGTGTCAGTTTAGAACCAGAGAAGGAAAAAAGATTATGCATGAGTTATCCTTCCTAGTAGAGAAGAATCTGTCTTTTGATCTCATTCTGGGTATGGACTGGCACGAGGAAGCAAACCCATATATTGATTTAAAAGACAAGGTTGTGCAACTTAAGGATGCACAGTCTGAAATGAAACCTATTAAGTTATATTATACGTCTAACTTTAACTCTAGTTTGCCTTTTCGTTGTATGAGTTACTCAGTTTTTCGATCAATGGCTTCAAAGAAAAAGTTGGAACAAGAAGTTATGATGGTGTTGGTAAAGAAAGTCGGAGAGTCTTCTTCTTCCCGCCCTCCAACTATCGAAAGTCTTCTTTTTAAGTTTAAGGATTTGCAGATTGAACTCACCGAAATTACAGAACGTGCTATGAAGCACACTATTGAAATTATTTCCGGTAGCAAGATTCTCAGGGACCCTATATATCGAATGTCTTCCAGGGAACTTGTGGAATTAAAGAAACAACTGCAGGACCTTACTAACAAGGGATGGATTCGCCTTAGGCTAGCTCATCTGCCTATAGTGCACCTGTCTTGTTTGTGCCCAAAAAGGAAGGTGAACAACGCCCATGTATTGACTATCGAGGGTTGAATGTCGTTACTGTCAAGAATGTCGAACCGCTTCCTCGCATTGACGACTTACTTGATCAGCTGCAGGGTTGCAAGTATTTTAGTAAAATTGATCTGAAGTCTGAGTACCATCAGATTGAGGTGGAACCCACAGATCAACACAAGACTGCATTCCAAAGAAGGAATGACCATTACGAGTTCGTGGTAATGCCTTTCGGATTTACAAATGTCCTTGCGACGTTCCAACAGTCAATGAATGAATTGTTTCATCAATGGTTGGATCAGTTTGTTATTGTCTATATCGATGATATTCTAGTATATAGTAAAACACTAGAAGATCACAAGAAGCATCTTCGTTTAGTTCTAGAAACATTGCGAGAGGGCAACTTTAAGATAGACCCAAAGAAGTTTGAGTTCACTAAGTCTGAAGTCTTATACCTAGGACATATTGTGAACGAAGATAGCCTAAGGCCAGAAGAAAAAAAAATATCAGCAATTAACATCTTATTCATTAAAATAGTACATTATTGTGTGTACTATTTTGAAACAAATTTATGACACAGTGTATAGTCTGGTGTAGTATTCCAGATCCGGATACATCCGAACAAGAAGTAAAGCAGCTTTGAGGCGAGGAGCACAGTCAGTACATATATCTGTTGCGCTCCTCTCGTGGTTCGGATGTGTCCTGATGTGGAACACCACAGCAGAGTATACACTGTGTTATACGCCTCTGAGTCAGTACAAATATCTGCTACCACTGTGTTATATGTACTGCTCCCTCAGTACATATATCTCCTGTGTCCAGATGTAGAACACCAGAACAGAGTAATATATTACACTGTGTCATAGTTTCACTTGGAGTTTAGCATCCCACTCATCCGAATCAGAACAGTATAATGACACAAACTCGAGTTTGTGAGTAAAACGAGTTGTGGCTCTTCACAGACTTAGAGGAGTAGGATGACCTGTATTTAGAAGTGTGAGGACCAGAATGAATTGGAGTTTTGCACCGATGATCATGTACATGTATAGAGCGAGAGAGATAGAAAGAGAGAGAGAGACAGAAAGAGCGAGAGAGAGAGAGACAGAAAGAGCGAGAGACAGAGAGTCTTAGAGACACTGTACTTAATTTTCAGGAGACGCAGGGTCAAGCATACGCGTAGACCATCAGCCTCGTTTTTTAATGCATTTCATACGATCGTTGTAGGAGAGCAACAAGGTAATGTGAATCTCCAAGATAGGCGAAGCTCGGATGTATCCGAGATTACAGGAGATAGACAGACAGATGAAGTCCGCAAGAAATGGTCGTGTACATTTGAAGAGCGAGAGATATAAAAAAAGAGAGAGAGACAGAAAGAGCGAGAGACAGAGTGTCTCAGAGAGACTGTACTCAATTTTCTCGAGACCCCGCACGGACGGCGCAGGGTCGAGCACATGCGGAGATCATCAGCCTCGCTTTTAAAAACATTTCAGACTATCGTCGCAGAAGAGCAGCAAGGCAATGTGATTTTCCCAGATAAGCAAAGTTTGGATATATCCGAGATCACAAGAGATTGACAGAGAGGAAGCCCACAAGAAATGGCATATTAGCACGCCAGAGGGCTGAGTGATGGAACAAACAAGCACCGTATAGTCACCCACAGCATTTCGTGTTACGGACGTATCCGAAGTGTCGAACTAGTATAGACCCTTCAGTTTGAAGCTTCCCCTGTGCTTTTTGGGACACAGTTCAAGAAGTATCTTTTGTGAAACTGTGTGTGTGTGTGTGTGTAAGAGAGAGAGAGAGAGAGAGAGAGAGAGAGAGAGAGAGAGAGAGAGAGAGAGAGAGAGAGAGAGAGAGAGAGA